CCTTAATTTAAATGGACACCTAAGGCACCCAGATCATTTCAGCTCATTGAAGTGGTTTTAGTGCACTGTCCCTGTCAGTTAAACTTGCAATGGTAATTATTGCAGTTACCAGACAGCCACTAGAGGTGCTTCCGGGTTGTTAGGACATCCAGCGTCAGCTAAAACCCCATAAGAAAATTTGAAAGCACTGATGCAATACTTTCCTATAAGGTTGTTAAAGATGGAGCTTGACCCAGCACTGAGGGATAATTTTTTTATTCCTAGTCCAGGCATGGGCAACCTTCGGCACTCCAGATTTTTTGGACTTCACCACCCATCATGCTTTGCCAGCATTATGGGTGTAAGAGCATTATAGGGATGTAGTCCAAAACATCTGGAGTGCCGAAGGTTGCCTATCCCTGTCCTAGTCCATAGTTTCCCTTTAAACATTGTCTCCATGATACCTCACAACCGCCCTTACAAAAAAAGCCTATATACATGAATTCTCCCTAATATGTTGCCTGCTATATATGTAAGCAACTACTTAACTAATCAATCCCAATACTATATCCTTCATCACTATCGGTAACAATTGAAATTCAATAGATGTACAGGTGAACCACCAGATCTAAGTGCACCATTATGAACTAAAAGTCAAAGTGCCTCAATAAAAAAGAAAAAGAAAACACCCAACATGTACTTTGATGTTATCTGCATTTTCATTAAGGGCTTTTTTTATATATTGCTTACATTCATATTTCATAAATATCTCTTGATACTCTCAGCACTCGGAATTGTCAATGTTATTTCAATTCTGAAATCAGTACAGATCTGTGAGCCACTTATCAATTCTCACCGGGGACGAGGTCCCATTCCAGCTCTCCCCCAGCAGTAGTAGTAAAAGGGAGGCTGGGCAGAGTTTCTTATAATATCAGCACTTTGAAGAACATAATGTCTTTATAAGGAATTTGGCCATTTACAGTACTACAATGGAAATATCTAGTTTTGCAATCTGCAAATAATGAATTGAATCAATGAATCTCTATGAGGAAAGTTCAGTGTCTCCATGCAGAGGGTGGAGACACTGAATGGCAGTGCAGCACTGCCCCAGGGAAGCATCTCTAGCAGCCATTTGAGAAGTGGCCAGTAGAGGTGTCCATAGGCTGTAATGTAAACACTGCATTTTCTCTGAGAAGACAGTATTTATTGCTAAAAGCCTGAAGGGAATGATTCTACTCACCAGAACAAATACAAAAATCTGTAGTTGTTCTGGTGACTATAGTGTCCCTTCAATGTACTTTTCCAATTCAAAACCTTATGATATAATCATACAATCATACATACTTGGATTTCAAGATCAGAGACAACACGGGTTTACTTCAGGGAGATCATGCTAAACTAATCTTATTGATTTTTTTGATTGGGTAACTAAAATAATAGCTCAGGGTGGTGCAGTAGACATTGCTTACCTAGATTTTAGTAAGGCTTCTAACACTGTTGCACATAGAAGGCTTATCAATAAACTGCAATCTTTAAAGGAACACTATAGTCACCTAAATTACTTTAGCTAAATAAAGCAGTTTTAGTGTATAGATCATGCCCCTGCAATTTCACTGCTCAATTCACGGTCATTTAGGAGTTAAATCACTTTGTTTCTGTTTATGCAGCCCTAGCCTCACCTCCCCTTGCTATGATTGACAGAGCCTGCATGAAAAGAAAAACTGGTTTCACTTTCAAACAGATGTAATTTACCTTAAATAATTGTATCTCAATCTCTAAATTGAACTTTAATCACATACAGGAGGCTCTTGCAGGGTCTAGCAAGCTATTAACATAGCAGGGGATAAGAAAATTTTAATTAAACAGAACTTGCAATAAAGAAAGCCTTAATAGGGCTCTCTTTACAGGAAGTGTTTATGGAAGGCTGTGAAAGTCACATGCAGGGAGGTGTGACTAGGATTCATAAACAAAGGGATTTAACTCCTAAATGGCAGAGGATTGAGCAGTGAGGCTGCAGGGGCATGTTCTATACACCAAAACTGCTTCATTAAGCTAAAGTTGTTCAGGTGACTATAATGTCCCTTTAAGTTTGGATTCCAATATTGTTGAATAGGTAAGGCAGTGGCTGAGTGACAGGCAACAGAGGGTTGTAGTCAATGGAGTATATTCAAACCATGGTCTTGTCACCAGTGGGGTGCCTCAGGGATCTGTACTTGGACCCATTCTCTTTAATATTTTTATTAGTGATATTGCAAAAGGTATTGATTATAAGGTATGTCTTTTTGGTGATGATACTAAGATATGTAACAGGGTTGATGTTCCAGGAGGGATATGCCAAATGGCATATGATTTAATTAAACTAGAAAAATGGTCAGAGTTGAGGAAACTTTTAATGTGGATGAGTGCAAGATAATGCATCTTGGACGTAAAAACCCAAGGGCAGAGTACAGAATATTTGCTAGAGTCCTAACCTCAACATCTGAGGAAAGGGATTTAGGGGTGATTATTTCTGATGACTTAAAGGTAGGCAGACAATGTAATAGAGCAGCAAGAAATGCTAGCAGAATGCTTGGTTGTATAGGGAGCGGTATTAACAGTAGAAAGAAGGAAGTGCTCATGCCATTGTACTGAACACTGGTGAGACCTCACTTGGAGAATTGTACACAGTACTGGAGACTGTATCTCCAGAAGGATATTGATACTGAAGAGTTCAGAGAAGGGCTACTAAACTGGTTCATGGATTGCGGGATAAAACTTACAAGGAAAGGTTAAAAGATCTTAAGATGTATAGCTTGGAGGAAAGACAAGGCAGGGGGGATATGATAGAAACATTTAAATACATAAAGGGAATCAAAACAGTAAAGGAGGAGACTATATTTAAAAGAAGAAAATCTACCACAACAAGAGGACATAGTCTTAAATTAGAGGGGCAAAGGTTTAAAAATAACATCAGGAAGTATTACTTTACTGAGAGGGTAGTGGATGCATTGAATAGCCTTCCAGCTGAAGTGGTAGAGGTTAACACAGTAAAGGAGTTTAAGCATGCGTGGGATAGGCATAGGGCTATCCTAACTATAAGATAAGGCTAGGGACTAATGAAAGTATTTAGAAAATTGGGCAGACTAGATGGGCCGAATGGTTCTTATCTGCCGTCACATTCTATGTTTCTATGTTTCTATGTCTTCTGAATCACCTGAATAGTTTCCGTGGAAAAATGTGCAAGCTTAATGCAACATTTTATGAAAATTCACTGATCAGTCATTTTGAATGCAACAGCCACACAGTACACATGTTCAGTCAACAGCATTTATTCCCTCAACTGACTAGTACAGTGAAATTGTCAATGCTCATTCCAGTCCACTCTCCTTGGCTGCCAGGTTACATCTATGTCACTCAAGCCATTCTCATTATCTTAACAATGGCTGGACATTTTCCGGACAGACATATATATATATATATTTCAAGTTATTAAGATTGCATAAAAAAAGTGTGGACTTGGACTTACATGGTTTATTTCTATCCGACTATTATAAGGCTAAAATGATTCCACGTGGGTTTAGATTACTAAATATACCAACTATTGGAAGACTTAAAGCAGCTGTATGTAGGGATTGGACACACGTTTTAAACAAAGCTTCTTTGGACCTTATGCTTATAACGATTAAAGATGTAAAAACTGATTTAACAGAGGTTAAACAGAAAATTATTGCGTTGGAGACTGAACAAGCAGTTCTATTGGCTTCAGCTGATGGAGTGAAATTGCAACAACAACTAAAAGTGGAACTTCTGAAATATAAAAATGAATTAGTGAGATTTAAAAAACAGAAGTACGAGAGGGTTCAACAAGATTACCAAGACCACCGTGTATATAGATGGTTATCGGGTGAACGCCCTCCCAGACCAAGGAGGTTCCGCAAAAGAATTATCCGACCAAAGGTTACAACTATTGATATAACCTCTGGGGAATCAGCTTCAGAGAATGAAATCCCCAATGATACAGCAACTTTTTTAGGTCACATGGAACAAGGCACAGTCACCAGGAGCAAAGTCAGGAGCGACGAAGATATAGGAATAGGAGAGGGTGCAAGGGTAAAAACAGTATTAAGGGGCAAACCCCCTCAACGGAAATAACCCCCATCTTTAACCTTTCCCATAGACAACTCAGTGAAACAGAAGTTAACATTCTTAGTAAGGGTCTATCATATGTCCCTACAAGTTTTATTAACCCCTTTAAATGGAGTACTGAGTTGTTTCAATTTGGAAGAAATATGAGGCTTAAAGAGTTTTTTCACACTATGGATAAAGACAAACCACAATCAACTTGTACGGGGTTAGAGAAATTTAAGAATAAATCTACATTTGACCCACAAACTACCAAATCTTCAATTAAAACTTTTTTGACAACAATGTCCAAGATGACACAGAATACTGGTGTCCAGCAACGTGAAAGATCACAAAATATAACTAAGAAAGAACGACAATTGATTGATAACCTAGCTAAGGACCCTTCTATAGTGATCCGCTCGGCGGATAAGGGAGGAGGCATCGTACTTATGAACTATACTGATTATGCAGATGACCTTAAACAACAATTACAGGATTTGAACACCTATTGTATGTTACCATGGGATCCTACACTCGAAATTCAGAGGAAAATCAGTGATGTATTAGAGATGGGACTTAGGGCTGGTTATATCAGTCTTGATCTATTTCAGTTTTTGAATAAACAACATCCCCGCACTCCAATTATCTATAGTATACCCAAGATTCATAAAGATCCAGAAAGACCTCCTGGCCGTCCCATTGTTTCAGCTATTGGGGGGATTTTAGAACCCATAGCACAATGGTTAGATTTTGTTTTTAAAGGACCAGTTGAGGCACTGAGTACATGTATTAAGGATACACAAATGCTCTTGAGTAGAATTAAGTCCTTGGAGTTCCATGGAAGGGTTCCAATATTCATTACTATGGATGTCAAGAGCCTGTACACAGTCATCCCTCATATTGGAGGTATTGAGGCGATGCGACAGGTGTTATGTGAGTCTTCGATGTACCATGGTCCACCGATAGAATTTATTCTGGAGCTTTTGTCGTTGATCCTTCATAACAATCATTTTAGATTTGAGGATCGGTGGTACTTACAAGTGGCGGGAACATCTATGGGGTCAGCCATGGCCCCTATGTATGCCAATGCGTACATGTATGCATATGAAACACAGCATATATTGACCACATATAAGAATAACATTATTGGATATTATCGTTATATAGACGACCTGTTGATCATCTGGCGAGGCTCACAAACGGAGGCACATATGATGGTGGAGGAGTTAAATTTGTTGCCAACTCCTATCAAGTTTACAGCCAATATCAGTGAGGAAAGTGTCCAATACCTGGACTTAGAACTTTCCTATGGAGACAATAGAGTCCAATACACATTATTTTCGAAACAGACTGATCGGAATACTCTTTTACACGCTAGGAGTGCACATCCCATTTCGTTGAAAAAATCTATTCCTAAAGCACAATTCCAGCGAGTCATTCGCAACAATTCTGATATAAATAAGGCTGAGTTACAATTGAAAATCATGACCCAGAAGTTTTTGAACAGAGGTTATAACATTCAGGTACTAGAAGAAGCACTGTTGAAGGCAAAATTGGCCCCGGTGCAAACAAAGACGGATCCTGTACAGAAAATAGTATTTCCGATGACGTTTCATAATTCTTCTAATTTGATTTCAACAATTGTTAAAGACAATTGGAAAATGATTGCTACAGATGACACCCTGCCAAAGATTTTTAAAGAGACTCCGTTAATTTGCTACAGGAGAAATAAGAGTCTTATGGACATGTTAGTACGTACAGACCCTGTGGAAAGTTATTCTAAAACAGTCAAGCACAACATACGGGGAAGCATACGATGTCTGGGGTGTATTACTTGTGGACATATGATTCCAGCAAAGAAATTTAATCACCCACATACTAATAAAATATATGATATAAGACACACTATTACTTGTAAAACCCCCTTTGTTGTATATAAATTGGTGTGTCCGTGTGGCCTCTATTACGTAGGAAAGACAGAAACACCTCTGTGTGAGAGGATTAGGGGCCACCGCTCGAGTATAAGATTAGCGTACAGGGATGGCCAGTCTGATAAGCCAGTTGCTCGGCACTTTCTTGATAAAAAACATCCCTTAGCATCCCTTAAATTTGTGGGTATTGATCATATACCCCTTCCCCGCAGGGGGGGTAATAGGGGGAAGATGTTGCTTCAGAAAGAGGCTTTTTGGATACACCAATTAAATACAATATCTCCCATGGGTCTTAATGAGAGCATCACGTATCATTCTTTTATATAGGTTTAACCAGCTTGTTACTATTGTTTTTAAATATTTTTATGTTTAATGAATTTCTCAGGAGCAGTGTGTCTATAATTATGCCAAAGTGTTTTTATATGTATGATATATTTGATTACACATATGTTTCTTATGAGCACTTATAATGCACTTTATTATATGCATGCTATCACTTTAAAAAATTTTATATATGAATTTTTTTCCCTGATGAGTGCAATTTCACATTTAACTATAACTAGGGCTCATACACCGATGGGTCAAATTTTAGTGGCTTTATTATCACTTTAATGAAGTGTCACTTACCTAGGTTCACTAGGTGTTCTTGTGGTTAGGGATATATGATATATGATACACAATGAGCCCATCACAAGATTTGTTTTAAAATAAGCACTTATATTACTTATGTATGGCATTAATTTTTTCCTCCCTATTCTCTATCCTGGTATAGACTCCTCTTGTTGTAAGAGGGGTCTTTGTATACATGGTTGCTAAGGAGACCGGTCTATGTGACCGGGAGTACGTCGGCACGTAACATAGTATGATGAAGGGGCGGAGCACGTATTGACGTGCGCGCGCACACCCGGAAATTCACTGGGTGCCGGCGGGAAATGAGAATAGAACACCTGGGTGAGTTATTTCACTTAATGTAATGGTATATATTGTCACTTTGTATACTGTTTATTGTTGTCCTGTTGTCTCTGACCCTGAGGAAGGTCCCGATCGGGGACCGAAACGTTGGTCATCATTTTTAAACATTTTCAATAAAATCTTTGATTTTAAGTCCGGAGAGCAGCCTTTTCTTGTGGAAGTTATATATATATATATATATATATATATATATATATATATATATATATACTGTATATATCAATGTAAATGTATATGTAAAAGAGTCACTCATCTTAGCAGCACATTAACATGAAGTCACCATCTGATCAATAGAAGCAGGGTCTACCAAACAATTGCATACTTTGCAAAGAGCACACAGTAGCCAGGTGCAAGAATTTAACTGGAATAGCATCAACTGAAGTCACAACCAGGTTGCTGGGATAGTGTACCAAAACATCTGCACAGAATATAGGCTAGATGTGCCTAAGTTCAGATATGTGAAAATACAAATGTTATTCTTGTGGTACTGCAGTGGTGGTGAGTGTGGCAATTAGAGGGGCAAAGGTTTAAAAATAACATCAGGAAGTATTACTTTACTGAGAGGGTAGTGGATGCATTGAATAGCCTTCCAGCTGAAGTGGTAGAGGTTAACACAGTAAAGGAGTTTAAGCATGCATGAGATAGGCATAAGGCTATCCTAACTATAACATAAGGCCAGGGACTAATGAAAGTATTTAAAAAAAATTGGGTAGACTAGATGGGCCAAATGGTTTTTATCTGCCGTCACATTTTATGTTTCTATGTTTCTAATATAAGGTACCATTACATAGCCGGTATAAGGAAATCTGAGAATTATTAATGTAAGTACAACATACACATTAAGTTGTAAAATAAATCATATTTGTCTTTCTGGAACAGTACGTTTTATATTGTTATGCAAATGGGGTTTACAGCGATCTTTTTATTCATTTATAAATGTGCCATGTTAATCAAGATTGCTGTTTACTTAAATTATTACAGTTTTGTTGAAAGTCTTATCATTACTAATTTAATTAAGAGTACATTACAATGACAGTGATTATACTGAACATAATATTCTTATTAACATATATGACACAAGGTTTGTCAGATTTTCACTTTGAAATCTCTACGCTTAATAGAGCATAGAACTATTATTCAATTTAAATTAATACATATTAATTACGAATTATAGAGTATAATATATAAAAATGCACCCTTTATTCTTTCTAGTGGACATCATAAATGTTGCCATGAAGAATAAAGCAATGTGATATTTGTAGAAGAAATGTCAACTTAAATCTGGGTCTAAAAACAAAAGGTATTTTTGCACATCAGATTCTAGTTTGAATTTTTTTTAAAAGATAGCTAAATTTGGAAAGCCCATCATTAAAGGGGAACTGTAATTTACTAAAATGTTTAAATTTTGTTTTATTATCCCTTATATTTCACATAGATATGTTTGTCAGGTTTTAGAAATAAAATTCCATATAGAAGGCTTGCGTGCCTCCCTCTTGCATGCTACCTGTCAATCAATACAAAGTCTCTCTTCTCTTTCATAGTATACGTACATAGTATATAGAAGTGGAAAAATAGAAACAATGAAGGTTTTACAAAAGTGTTGCAAACATGAAACAGGGGCAGAGTCACCAATCAGTGCAACTGCTGGTTCCAAATGACTATGAACTGAAACAATATTTTGCATGACCACATGGCTGAAATAACAAGCTGAAAGTTGAAATACAGGCCATTGTTGTTAAAATCTAGATACATATTTTAAAATGCCAAACTATTTGCACTGTCCAACCCCCTAACCCCTCCCTTTACCAGCAAGTGAGGGCAATAAGGTAATACATTGGGTAGACATACCTGTGTCTAAAATCCATGGGTGGTGAGTGGGGGCTACTAATACTATTACCTTTTTAAGGTGTTCACCCTCAACATAAGCCAATAGTCCCCAAAATGTAATGAATTCTACCCCCCCCCCCACACACACACACACACACTGTAACTGAGCCATAACTGCACAATCACTAGTTGTTTTTTTAACTTAAGTTCTGGGATATAAATCAAGACAAAGCCTAGGGCAAGATAAACAATAGATATATCTTGGACAACTCTACAAAAGAGGAAAAAAATTAAAGTTATCGCAGACCTTCTTAAAGAAAATAAAATATATTTTCACTGTGGTTTTCCCTTAAGCATTACAGTTTATAAAGACTCAAATAGTTGTATAATAAAATCTTTGGATGATATTCCAAATTTTTGCAAAGCTTTGCAACTACCAACACCAGATGTTTCAGACCTAACAGAGTCTACTAAAGAGAAAATAGCGATTCCTGCCCTGAAAAATCAACCTTGGACATCACATTCCGGAAGCAAGGAGAGACAAATGAGCTATAACCTGAACTAGCATACCAAGACGATAAGAAAAGACAATATATCCTAAGACTCTCTGTAGATGGGGTGGTAGATAGATCAAAAGGCTATCATCAATATGTATTGCTAAGGAGTTAAACTAAATAAAGCTGGGTGGAATTCATAGGTAATTAGAGATCTGGGGAAGAAATGCAAGGAAGTAAATTTGAAATTAAGTCCAAGAGAAATAGAATTATTTTTATTTTATTTTTTGCATCTGTATAAAATAGTATTGTTCCCTTGCAAAACTACAGAACTTATTTGGCTTTAGCAATATTAACAAAAATAAAAGAATAGGGAGACAAGGGCAGGGTGAAATGAGAGAAAAGGGAATGATGTAAATGTCACATCATGCCTTGTTCTGTGGATCCGTCTGGTGATGGCTTCTGGTATCCAGTACTCTTTTTACAATCCTTGCTTAGTTTTTCTTAGGTTTTCTAGTTTTCTATTCCATGTCTGGTTTTCCTTATGCTGGGTTTTCTGGGTTCATTCCATTATTCCATCCCTGGAATTCCCAGTCTCCTGGATTCATTTATATGTTTGTTTTATGTTGCCACACCCATTTGTTTTCCATTTTCCTTTTGTTTCAGTCTGGACCTGCAGCAGTGTTTCAAGTCCCTTTCTTGCAGGTAAGTGCTATTGTGGTTTAGTATGGTTCTTTTAGCAAACATTAGGCAGTGTAGGACCTGTCGAATATGGGGTACATTGGCGTTGTGGCAGGCTTATGCAATATATGATCATATAATGTAACTAAATCCCCATACTTTTCATATATAGTGCTTAGTTATGTCTCCTCTTGTTTTGCCTATTATATCTTGTCTTGTTTTATTTTGTAATCCCAGTTCATGTACAGTCCTGTCCTGGCCTGTTCTTGTTTTCCTCATGTCTTGTGTACGTGTTCTGGGTTCTGTTTTTTATTGTCCTGCTCTGGTTCTGGGTTCTATTAGTTCTGTCTTGTTTTCATGTTTGGTGACTATCCTATCCTTGCCTTCTTTCTGTACTGGATACATGTCTGCTGCAGAGCCCCCCTATCCAGTTCCTGGGAGGTCTGCATATCAAGCTCCTAGTTCCTGGGATCCGCTGTAGCTGCATCAGGGTTCTGGTATGTGGCCGCGCAAACACTGGTGCTCAACGCCAGAGGACGTGTGGTTACCCTGCACCAGGCCCTGATAGTCCATTACCACGCTGAAGACTCCCACTTCTCATCAGGCACTCAGGGGTCCCGGTTTCCGTACCGCCACCCGTGACAGTAAACTTGATTTAGTGTTTTATTTCTCTATCTCTCTCTCTTTTCCTTGTTTCTTTCCTTGCTAGATTGCGTGATAGGCTGCGTTATGGGGTTTTTAGTCCTCACACGCACTTCTTGTTTTTTCTGCTCATACCCACAGGTGTCATCAGACTAATGTAAATATTCAAATAGCTGAACAGGGGCTGCAAGCCATTAAAG